AAGAAATCCGACAGGGACATAAAGCAGTGGAGGGTGGCTTAGCTTTGCCCTGTCACTTGTCCTGTCACAGCTGAGCTCAGATAGAGCTGGGAAAAGTGGAACTAATACTCACTGGGGCAAAGACAAAACCAGGTTGAGGATCCAGAGGTGACTTCTCCTTTCCCTGAAATCAAAGGAAACCAAAGAAATTAAGCTGGGCCGGAGGGGTCTATTTTTATGTCAATCTCTGCACTCAGTTGCGGACTCCTTTAAATTCAATTCTGGTAATTATTAACTATGTTCGCTGAGTTAAGCTGGCTGCTTCTCTAATACTCCAAACAAAGAACTTTCTCTTTGCAGAGGGAGAAAGGCAGGAACTTGGCACACAGGATGGTGCTCTCCTTGTCAGCAACCTCCATTCTCAAACAAATCCCACTCCAGGACAATTAAATTTATGCTTATACACCGCCTCATACAGTCCCAAAGAGAGAAGGTTCTTGGCTCAGTAATGTCCTAGATCAGGGGTTGGCAAACTTTTTTTTTAAAAGGCCCAGAGAATAGACAAAATCTGTCTCTGCCCCAACTATTCATCTCTGCTGTTTGTAGCATGAAAGCAGCCATACACAAGAGACACTGATATGACACCAAATAAGCCTGGCTCATAGGAACACAGGTGACAGGCTGGATTTCATCCACACGCCCTCGTTTGCCAACCATGACCCTATATTATATTGACTTCATAGGCCTACCATCCTGACAGTCACCCTTACCATTGTACGACAGTGTCTTCTGTTTTCAAAGGAGTACCAGTAATTGGTGACAGGTAGGTGGAGGGAGGGAGGGAAGAAGGGAAAGAACCTTACCTTAAGGACCAGGTCCCTGGCTTCCATGAGAAGGCCATGCCCAGCTTTTGTTCCATTCTCTACCAGTATCTGTTCACAAAAGGGAAAAATTAGCAAAACCCTGAACTACATGAAGACATCAATGTTTGTAGTTCTGTAAGAACATTCACAGATGGGGCCGGTCAAGTGGCTCAGTTGGTTAAAAGTTGGCTTAAGAGTGCAAGCTCTGAGCAACAGGGCCGCCGGTTCGATTCCCACATGGGCCAGTGATGCTGCGCCTGAGCTGAGCTGTCGCTGAGCTGCCAACAGGTGGTGGGATGGCTCAGCTGGTGTAACAACAAGATTGCCTGTTCGATAGTGGGCTATGCCCACCCACAACTAAGAATGAACTGTGGCACCTTGAGCTCAGCTGCCACCTGGATGACTCAGAGGATAGGGTGTGCGCTCTTAACAACAAGGCTGCTGGGTTCAACTCCCACATGGGATGGTGGCTATGCCCATCTGCAACTAAGATTGAATTTGGCACCTTGAGCTGAGCTGTCGCCCAGATGGCTCAGTGGACAGAGCATGCACTCTTAACAACAAGGCTGCTGATTCGACTCCTGCATGGGATGGTGGCTATGCCCACCCACAACTAAGACTGAACATAGCACCTTGAGCTTAGAGGCCACAAGCTGCCAACAGGAAGCCAGATGGTGACTAGGGCCCTTCACAATGAAGACTGAAGAACAACTTGGCTGGTTCCCATCCCCAATTTTCCAACAATGTTCCCCTCCCTCAATTCCCCAATAAAATCTTAAAAAAAAATTCACAGGTGGAATAGTGGTCCTGTAGGAAATGGCATTATATACAAGTTGGGGATGGAAGACTCTAAAAGAGGAACAAAAGATTCTGTGCAGGAGAAAAGTGGTAAGAACGAAGACAAGCTCCAATAGACAGAAGGAAAGGCATGGAAACCATGAAGCTGCTTTAAAACTTGAAGGGAAAAGGGATTTCAACTCACCAGAAAATCACTTGTCTTGCGCCACAGGGTCTGAACGACCTCAGCGCGCTCAGCCTTGCTGGGCAGTTCACTCAGGGAAAAGGCTGAGACCACCACATTGAATTGTACCTGAGGACCAAGACAAAGAATATGACAGACTCGACATCTCTCCCTTCCAGGAGCACAACAGTCTATCTCCCTAAATTTCTTCTGCTGCCTTTTCTCTTCTGAAGCTCACTGCTGAGTTGCAAAGCTGAGGCCACAGTTTTCCATCTGCCAAATCCCACATTTAACATACTCTACACATTGCTACTTGCCTTGGGTGATACGTGGAAACTGTCTATAAAAGACACCTGGAACATAAGGTTCTCCAGATTCTGAACCATCTGTGGAGGAAAGCAGAGATGGGGCAACTATGAGTGTACAGGTGTAAACTGAGGTGATATCGTGATGAGAAACATGGCCCTAAGAACAAAGAAAAATGCTAGGGATAAAAAAATGAAGAAGAAAGAAAAAGAAAAGAAAAATTCTAGGTGAGAGCGACAGAAAGTAGGGTAAAGGGGTTCAGAACAGGACTCCCCAAGATGAGACACTTTGGCATGTGAATTATTTTGAGCTGAAGGCAATTAGACCCGTGAGCTCAAGAGAAA